CAAAGTGACCTCATTGTTCCTGTCATTCTCAGTTTGAAATTGTTCCTGAAGATGACCCCCAGAACACCATTGTCAGCTCTTCTGCCGACGCCTGTTATGAAGAACTGGTCAGGATGATCAGTGCTGCAACGTAAGTTGGCCACCAGCTTGAGGACACACTAAAGGGTCACCATTAGCACAGCTGAGACCTTTTCTCTCTCAATGCCATACAGGCTCCTTAGCTGCTAGCCTCAGAGTATATTAGGAAATCTCAAGTGTGGCGTGTATTCAAGCCTGTTGTCATCTCCTCCTAAGCTCTCATCAAGTTAAAGCTCTCTCTTCTGCTTAGGGGGAAACTGATGCCTAACCTACTCTCATGTGGTGCTGAGTTCTTCGGGTTTTCTCATCCAATCATCCACAACCTGATTCAGAGTTGTCCAGAAGCCCAAAACTGTGTCAAGTAAGTGGGAACAAACCTCTTCCATTGGTAGACGCTCAGTTGCCAGCTGACCAGTGTCCTAAACTGGCAATTACTTTATTCGTGTATGCATTTCTGTGTCAAAGGTGAGCTTGCTCCTTCACCGTGTGCCACAACTTTGACCCACTTACCCATCTAGACAGGTGAGCAGGAGCCCGGTACCCCGTGTGTTGCATCCCGGGGTGACTGCTCCATATCCGGAATGCTTGATGAGATGTGCTTCAGATGTGCTTTATTTGGTGGTCATTTGGGGTTTTCTAAGACTTTCTATTGTATGGAGGTGCACACCTGGAGTTCCCATAGTCAGGAGGCAGAGGCAGGCAGATCTCTTGAGTCTTTAGATCAAGTTTGGGCAGGAGAGTGACTTTATATACATAAGAGGTAACTTGGGAGCAAAACTAAGTCTAAACAGGAAATTCAGTGTTTCCTTTATGCATTACACATACACCCTGGACAGTTTTCATGTAATATTTTAGTGCACCTTCATTTTAATTGTGACCATCCCACGAGGTGTGGGTTGGTTACACAAAATGTTTTAGGATTCTTTTAAATTCTCAAATTAAGGCTGCTCAATTTGTGCCACTCTTGGTGTATACAGTGGAGCACTGTCACCAGAGGCTTGCCTGCTCGTTTGCTTGGGTTGTTTTCTTAGCTGATGCTTTTTAGGTGTGTAGAGGGAAAGACCCAATTGGGGGGTGGGGGAGAATGTGGCTACTTTGGTAGGAAGGTATTATGGACTAACAGACAGCTCTCAAGAATGGTTCCCTTTGATCCAGTTATCAGTGGGTGAAGTCTGACGTGTGCAAACCTGGGAAGGGTCAGCTCTCCCAGGAGTTGTCAGAGAATGATGCAGCTATGAGCCTTGAAGCCTTTGAGACACAGACCTTTGACGATGACCACGAGGACTCCATTCTGCCAGGTATCTTTTAACTTTTACCCTTTTGGCTTGAAAACCGACCATTTTTAGACTGTGGTACCCTTGTCACACATTGGAGGGTAGTGAGTAACATGCTTCTCTGAGCCAGCTATAGAGAGTGCAGAGTGAGGGGGATGTGAAGGCTGCCTGGGGCTTCCATGTTATTCACAGAACCTGGCCAGCAACTTGAGTGTCTCATTCTGTAGCTTAAGTTACAGAGTGGAAATGGTAGGGTTTGCTGTACAAGAAATAAAACTTAAAGGTCAGTGGTGTCTTTTAGCCCTGTGTTGCCTGGATTATTTCCCATAAATGGAAAGTGGTCATGGGCTCAGCAATTTTAGGTTCATAACAGTTTGTGTATGGCACTTCTCTACATCTATTCATTTTCTTCCCATTGTTAAACACCTGTCTGTTTATTGAGGGCAAAATAGGGTCGACTTTTACAAATGTAAGGAATTAAGAGGCTGCATATTCGGCCAAGTCAAATTGTCATGAGATTCCCAGGCAATGGTGCAATTAAGGATTTGTTTCTTCCAGGGTCCCTGGACCTACCCGAGCTTCAGCATGAAGCCTTTGTGTCGTCTTACCAGCCAGAGTTCCTGACACACGAACCCTTGGTGGACACTGACCTGCAGCACCTGAAGTCTCCATCACAATGTAGCCCAATGCAGTCTTCAGACTGAAGAAGGGGGGGAGCCCACTTCCTTCTCATCATGAGTTTTTGACCTAAACTAAAACTTACTCTGTGTGGGAGAAAGCAGCAGTCTTTTGGAAAGGAGAGATGATATTAACACACTTCATCGTGGATGTTCCGGTGCTGACAGTGTACCCTGGGCGAAACTTCAGTTGCTTTTATTTTTAGTAATAAATATCTCTTGACAGTTCTGCTTATTTTTATCTTCTTGTAGTCAGGATATATTCATGTTTGCTTAGCTCTCCCTGAAGTGAACCTTTATAAACATCGTCTGTTTGGGCTACTATAACAAAATACCATACATTAGGTAGCTTATAAACAAGTTTATTTCTCAGTTTGGGAGCCAGGGAAGTCAAGAGTTCAAGATTCCTGGTGATAGCTTGGTCCTTAGCTGGCTTGCTAAGACTAAAGATGTGGAAGGGAGTCACCAGGTCCCTTTTATAGGGCACTAGTTCTGTGCAGAACCCTTTTGACCTACTCTCCTCCTTAAGGCTGTAACTATAACATCACAGAGGACTAACAAAGTAAGTTCTTGGCAGCAGCTAATTCATGAAGTAAACAGAATCTAATTCTAGTCAGGAATATTGAGTCACCAGCCCCTGTAACCCAGACCCCAGCTTTTTTTTTTTTTTTTTTTTTTTTTTTTTTTTTTGGTCTGTATCAGTAGGACAACTTCTCTAATTATCTCTATCTAAGAATGCATATTTGTGTTCATCTTTTTTGTCAAATTTTGCACTCCTTTTGAGGGGATAAAGTCCTCTAACTCAATTCCTTATTAAAAAAAATTCACTTGTACACGTGTTAACACAAATTCAAACAAGACACAGTTGAGTGAAATCAGTTCCCTTCCTCCATACAGACTCGTCATTTCATTTTGACCATATTTTACACAACTGGACTTTCTAGTTCCCAAATACAACATTAAAGGTGGGGGAGGGAGCTTCCTGTGCCGCCTACTGCATCAGTGTGCCACATTACTTGGGCCCAAGTTCATAGCTTCCTGTTTGCCAAGCTGGAAGAAGAGAGAACAGGAATAACTCGCTGGTCTTGTTTTGTCAAGTTACTAGAGCATGCTCCTTTTACCATACAAAAATACCGACACATTGGATTACAACCTGAGTAAAGACAAACTAAGCATTTAATTTTTAAGCAAGCATGGTGGTACACACCTTTAATCCCAAAAAGGGAAAGCAGGCAGACTTGTGGGTTCAAAGCCAGCCAAGACTAGAGATCCTATCTCCAAAGACATTTTTTACAATTCCGTGGATTAGCCCAAGTTCACAACTTCTGAACTACAAACCTTAATCCACTAACTGCTTAAATTTAAGAAGTTGCTGGGTATAGTGGCCCATGCCTTTAATCCCACCATTTCAGAGGTAGGGGTAGGCAGATCTCTTGAGTTCAAGGGCATCCTAGTTTACACAGTTCCAGGACAGTCAGAGCTACATAGTGAGACCCTATCTCAAAAAGAAACAAAAAAAACAAAAATTTTGAAAATGGACATCTACATCTTTTCAAAGTAAAATAAATAAGTTCACATCCCACTAAAATGTATCAGATATGTAAAGGTTTGCTTCAACTATAGTGTGTATCTGTATTTGCATACTATATATGTAAATCGTGTAAATATATATGTAATTTTTATATATGTGACATGATTATAATGTCATATATACAAACACACATATATGTACATATATATACATACATACATACATACATATATAAAATATGAAATACAATACAAGACAGGGCAAAGTTAGCACAGCAGTGTTTCTCCTTGAGTGAGTGAAGATTCAGAGCTGGTTTTTACTGATACTCTCCTTTAACCAATTTTCTAGCCAGTGATTAATTTTCAAACAGTAAAGAAATTATTTCCATTTGGGGAAATATACAAACCCCTCACAATGTTTTGGACTTTTCAAACACAAAATATTTGATTCATCCATGGCTTCATTACTGCACGGATTACCTGAAACAAAGTTTGTACTGTATGCACCAATTATTGGGCGTTAAAGGACATTGGGCTTGGGGGTTCTTGCCTACCTCTAGCAGCCTCCACATTAGAACAATGTGGGCATATGTGTCAGTGATGAACCATCCTAACTTCATCTTAAGTATGGAAGCCACTTGGTTATAAGGTCAGAGTAAGTTTGTTTCTGTTTGCTGCAATTCAAGCTTGACCCTGTTTTGGCCTGTTCCTGTAATTTGACTCACATCTTCAATATACTCTGATAAGATGTTCTGCCAAATAATTTTTGAAATGTTCAGCTAAATTTCTATGTAATCAAAATTCCTCTGGAAATCCCCCAATTCTTGAAAAACCCCTAGTCTTGCAGATTTTTTGGACTATATAAACCCTTCCATCTCCTGTGTTCAATGCTGTTTTTTCAAACCAACACCAATTTAGGGAGATAGCCCTGTCTGACAGAAAATAAAGCCTGCATAATTTGACCAAAGAATTTGGGTGATGGTTCTTACTCTCATTTGGTGGGATTAATACCAGGGTTTGGCAGAAGAACCATCAGATAGAATTGACCTTTTCTTGGGAACTGATGGTTACTAGGCTTATTTTCTCATGTAGCCAGATACAGAGAGGTCAAAGTGTGAGCATTAGGAGTTAAATGCAGGCTAGAAATACACACAAGTCAAGAGCCCTTGCAGAATGTATAGCTTGGGGGTTTTGTTTGTTTGTTTGTTTGTTTGTTTTGTTTTTGTTTTTTGTTTGTTTTGTTTTTAACCAAATAAACTCCTGACACATCTTTCTTGCTGCTTCTAATGGCACCAGAGCCCCACAGTGATGAGAAATGCTCATTGCTTCACATCAAAGAACAAAAAAGCTACCTACAGGTGACATTTGGACTCCTTTCCCATGCTTCGAGGCACTTTGTAAGTCTCTAACAGTTAATTTGACTGTATATACAGACACATCATTAATTACAATACTTTTATTTCTAATATCTTTATGGGGTGTTCAAGACTGTTTTTCTAGATAATTCTGACTGTTCTGGAACTCACTCTGTAGATCAACTGGCCTTGAAGTCAAAGATTTGCCTGTCTCTGCCTCTCAAGTGCTTGAATTAAAGGTGTGGGCATCACTTGGCTTATTCCCGACTTCTAATAGATGCAATTTTCATAGCTGCCAGCTGTCTATCATCAAATGGTAAATTGCATCATCACCTTTGCCTTGCCTATACTTGCTCTAAAAGCTAATCATGTAGCTTTCCTGTCAACCTAAATTCTTTCCTCAATAGGGATTAACCTTAGTTGAACTTCTATTTCTCAGGGACTTGAGATTTACTTTAAGAACCCATTTGCCCCATGTACATCTACTTTCATGTGTCCCTATGCCTGTGATTTGGGCTCTCACTCTTAAGGCCAGTCCTTGGTACCTGCCAATATGCCTAAACATAACACTGATTGTGTCAGGTTCATTTTAGAATAAGATTTGGGCTGAAAGCAGGTAGTTTTGAATAACTTAATGAGGATACAAATATGTGGTGTGTCTAGGGTTACTTGAAATATTTTGTCATGGGGTAGGAACATTTGATGAAGATTCTGCTCCCTAGATGGAAACTTCATAGCATTCCTTAGCCATTTTGGGAGTTTTGTAAAGAGCACACAAAGCACCAGCCTCTGAGGCCTTTAAAATCTCTTGCAGGCTAAGAACCAAAGTTTTGCATGAAGGGCAGATATAGGGCATCCACTCCCTAAACAGGGAAGTGGTGGTAGTAATGCCCAGGGTTGTAGTTAAGAATTAGATCAGCACAGAGCTTGAGGTAACTAGAGGACAAAGATGAGCATTTCAAGTGTCTATTAGCCAGTGCTCATCTCAGAATACAGGAACAGCCATGGGCTAGCAGGGAGCTATTCAGTGAGGCTTCTAGTATTTGTTGTCATCATTTAAACTTCTAAATGCCCAAATCTAAAGGCCTCGCCCTTGTATAAAAGAGTTGGTACTACTCCAAATGTCCTTTGAGCCCCCTGCCCTACGCCTGGGAACCTGGTGTGTAATAAGAGCAGTGAAGGGAGGAGCTGGCAAGGTACTGCTAGGGTGGTAAATGGCACATTGCTTATAGTCACAGGGCCATGTGGTCCAGGCATAGCGAACAGCAACCACAGTGCCAAGACAAGCATCGACACCCAAGATCAGGGTCTTGGTAGAAAAACTGTTCACAGGAGCAGGAAGCCATTTGCACTGATGGTCACTGCAACAGGAGATCTAATAAGAGAAAAACAGAATAGACAGGCAAGTTAGAAGGGTGTACCAAAAAAACTGGGAACTGCTCTTTCAGGCATACTAGAAAGGAATGAAAATAAGGCCACTCTGAGCCAAAGACAAGTTTCCTACAGTAATTAGAACCTAGAACAGATGGGTCTGGTGACACAGAACAAGTTAACAGTAAATGTTCATATAGGCTAAAGGTATAGCTTGGTGGAAGAGCACATGCCTAGCATGTACGAGGCCCTGGGTTTGATCCCAGCACCAAAAAGAAATTTCAATGTTCAAGTGATTAAATAACTAAAAATCAATTAAAAACTATACTTCCCAGGGACACAAGCATTCAGGGACTGGACCCCTGAACATTTTCCAGTGGACCCCTCCCTCCAGATGGCAAAGCCATCACGCCAGCAGCAATGTGTGAGCTAGCAACCCAATGGTGGCTCTCTGTCACTCCCAGAGAAGGTATGCAGTAAAAACAGGACACAAAGTAACTGTGGCTGCTGAACCTTGGACAGTAGAAAGCAGTCCAGAGAAGGCAAATTTTCCAGACCCTAAGATTAAAGTCTACCCTAACCCCAACCATGGTTCCAGGGCCAGGTGAAAGGCAAACAGACCACCAGCTGGCAACAGGCAGAGTACAGATCGCTCCAGTCTCCAAATTCACCTCAAGCCCATGTGGAAAGAAGCAGAGGACACTCAATGACCAGGCGTCTGAGGTATGTGGACTCCTGGGAGCTGCAGCTCTAAACTCCTGCATAAAGGGTACCTGTCACTGTTAGCACCTCCTACAGTGTCCTCTCTTCACACATCACCTCCTAGCCTGGTGTCCTCAGGTTGCCCAAAATGAACCATCTAGGAATGCCTCTCTTCTCAACTACAAGAGATTCTAATTCATCTTTTTAATCAGTGGCCCCAATTCTACAGAAGTGACCCCTGCTGGGTAGTGGGAGAAAGTAGACTGTCTACATCCATTCATACTAAGCTGGAAATCGCCAAGCTTACGATTTTCAAGGGATGCTAAACCCTAAGAATTTCAGATTTTAGTAGCATACAACAAAAAAAGCTAATGTTCAGGGGATTATTTTAGAGCAATGATCATTTAACAGATAAAGTACAAATAAGATCATTCTCTGAGCCAAGGTGACTGCCCTGAGAAAGAAAATTGGAAAGGAATGCAGTTTATTAGGGGCTATTTTTCCCTTCCCTGGTTGCTCTATCAAACTTGTGTCCGCACTAATGGATCAGTAGTTGTGCATCTGTCCCTCTGAGATAAGCTCAACACCACCCCAGCCAACCAGCAGCTGTTTCATCATCACATTAGTGATGGAAAAGGGCCCCTATGGGGAAAGATCCCCAACTACCTCACCCCCCCCCCCACACACACACACACTATTCTCACCTCAAATGACTTGTTATCTTGCCTCAGCACCTGGATTTCCTGGTCATATGTGAGGTTGAGCAGCTCATTGTGAGTCAAGAGTTCTATCTTCGTAGGTAGTGGTCCTTGAAAGGTCAAATTTGTCTCACCATAAGCCAGAGCTCGAGCCCCCAAGTGCAGTCGATAAGCCACAGTCTGTTTATCTCGGGGGTGGATGCTGCAGCATAAAGAAAGTGTGGGGGAGGGTGATGGGACTGAGCTCCACAATAACCATGTGTTATAAGACAGAGTATTCAAGTCACTCAGATAGGGATAAAACAAAACATTCTTCAAAGGTGTGTTTTTTATTTTACGTGCATGTATGTTCTGCCTGCATGCATCGCATGCATACCTGGTGCCCATGGAGCCCAGAAGAAAGTGTCACATCCTCTAGAACTGGAGTTACAGGTAGTTATGAGCCACCATATGGGTTCTGGGAACCAAATTGGGGTCCTCTGGAAGAATGGCAAGTGTTCCTAACCACTGAGGCATCTCTCTGATCCCTGAAATCTTTTTTTTTTAAAGGAGGAGGAGGGCTGGGTGCAGAGCACGCCTTTAATCCCAGCACTTGGGAGGCAGAGGCAGGTGGCTCTCAGTAAGTTCCAGGCCAGCTTACTCTGCAGAGTGAGTTCCAGGACAGGCTCCAAAGCTACAGAGAAACCCTGCCTCAAAAAGAGGAAAGAATTTCTGATATGGTGGCACATGCCTGTATAACAGCACTTATGAGGCAGAGGCAAAAAGATCACAAGTTCAAAGCCAGTCTAGTCAACACAGTGATATCCTGTCTCAAAATGCTAAAGAAAAAAAGAAGGGGGCAAAGGAAGAGGAAGAAAAGTTAAAGGAAAGAAAAAACAGAGTTGGCTGAAATCAATAATTAGTGGCTAGTGACCTTAAGAACAACCGTTAGTGATAACAAGAGATGAAGCTCTAACCTTCAGTGGATTTAGAACCTTACAGCAACAGAGGGCTAGAAGGAAGAAAAGGAGAGAGAAGGGTGGAGAGTAAGGGGATAGGTTAGACTGTTGATTGCAATTTAGGTATACTATGCATCAGCCTTCTATGCTGGAATGTGCTGCAGAAATCCCAGCCTAGGATAGCTAACATATTGCTGCCACTGAAAGTCATCCTTCATGTGATCAGATGTTCATCATTTGAGTCTGTCTGTCTTTTATTTGGTCATTCAATAAATATTATCAAGTTCCCTCTATAATCTAAAGGCCAGGTATCAGACTCCATTTCATATTTGAAATCCAGTATCCTACAGCTAGTATGCAATAACTCATTGGTGCTAACAACAAAAATGCCATCCTTCTCTGAGTCCATCCCAGAATCTCAAGGCCTAGTCTCACTAAAGGTGATTATATCCATGATTTATATTAGTGATTCAGTGTAAGCAGAAATGACTCGTGTGCTATGGTTTGTGTTGTCTTGACACAGGCCAGAGCCATTTTAGAAGCAGGAACCTCAAGTGAGAAAATGCTCCCACCAGATTGGCCTGTGGGTACACTTTCTTGGTAGATAATTGATGTGGGAAGGTCCAGCCCATTGTGGGCAGTGCCACCCTGGGCTGGTGGTTCTGGGTTCTGTAAGAAAGCAGGCTGACCAAGCCACAGGGAGCAAGCCAGTAAGCAGCACATCCCTCCGTAGCCTATGCATCAGCTCCTGCCTCTAGGTTTCTGCCCTGCTTCAGTTCCTATCCTAACTCCCTTTGAGGATGGACTGTGATGTAGAACTCTATGCTGACATAAATCATTTCCTTTCTAGGTACTTTTGCTCATGGTGTTATGTAGCAGCAATAGAAACTTTCACTGATACACATGGTTTCCAGACAACAGCACTAACTTCCCAATGTAAGACTTAAAAGTAATGATGGAAGGAAGATAAACTTGGAGACTCACTTCTTTAGGGATGGTACCAGGGTTTGAATCCAAAGCTTGGGACACAATAGATAAGTACCCCCACTACTAAGCTACATCCCAGCTCTTTGTAGGCTTTTGCTCTGGATCTGTGAACAACTCTTAATAGCAAAATCTCTACAGACCTGCTTTGATTGAGTGTGAACATGACCTAAGTTTTTGTTGTATCAAAGCAATGAGGTAGTGCCAAGGGGATCTTGTTCAGTTGGTTGGTCAGGGTCTCTGTATTTGGGAAGGGTGCTTTGGTTTGGATTATTGTAGCACATCCCAACATAGGTAATTGATACATAGTATCTAAACTCCAACCCAAAGTCCAATCCATCTCATTACAAATAAACATCACAGTGAAAGACAACAGACAAGAACATTCACTGATAAAGCAAAGTTGAAGAAGCAAGCATACCTGCCAAAAGGTGAGTCCTTATCACAGAGATCCATAGCAACAGCCATGAAAGTATTGGGCATCTTCAGGTTAGGGACAAAGCCAAAATCTGCTGTTTGATGCCAGCGGATCTCAGGAAATCCATAATCTGATGTGTTCATCAATTCGTATGAAGACAGCTAGAAAAGAAACATGCTATCCTATCATTTTTGCTGCGCTAGATCCTTGGATGCTGCTCACTGACACTGCTCACTAGATGCTTCTCACTGGAAGCTTCTCACTGACACTGCTCACTGACATTTCTCACTGACAGCTGTCACTGACACTGCTCACTGGAAGCTTCTCACTGACACTGCTCACTGGATGCTTCTCACTGACACTGCTCACTGGAAGCTTCTCACTGACACTTGTCACTGACACTGCTCACTGGAAGCTTCTCACTGATGCTTTGCTTCTGCTCTACTGTTTTGTCCAAACATTCACTCAATTATTTTCTGAACATCTCATCAGGCAGGGTCTTTCCAAAGATGGACAACATAATCTCCAACAGCCACGTGGCCTTTTTTACACTGTGTTGGGAGTTTTATTCTTCCTCCCACTCAATCCAGGCTCATCCTGTGGTTTGCTGATCAACAGAATGTAGCAGAATTTTTATGCAACCTGAGTCTTTGCCCAGAAGCCTTTGCTTGTGGCTTTGTGTTCTTAAAACCATGCATTGGCCATGGGAGGAAAAAAAAAAGTCCAGCTACTCCGCTAGAGATATTGGGAATAGAGGAGGCTTTGGACAAATTATGAAGACAGCTAGAAATAGCAGCTGAGGTGCCAGTTATGTGAATTCTAGATCCAGTAGTCAAGGTATGGCCACATACGCAACACCCAGGACAGAGATAAACCATCCCAACATAGCTCTGCCTAGCCAGCCTGAAGAACATAAATGGACACAATAAAGTTTTATGCTACTAATCTAGGGTAAATTGTTACAAAGCAACAGGGAACTGAAGGTGAGTATGCAGTATAGGGCTGGCACTACAGAGAAGCAAAAGAGAATCCACCCATTCCTTCTCATATCCACGCATCTTAAATGTGACTTTGCAGTTCTTCCTATTACAAGAAACAGTATATTTGTCAACCCGTTGATTCTGAGATGGGTCATGAGGCTTGCTTTGGCCTTTCTGGAAGCTGAGATTAATTTGTGCCTAACCTAGGCTTCAGGAAGCCTTGCCTGGTTCTTCTAGTGTTTCTGTACTTCTGGTGTCACCAAGAGAGGAATGTGGCTGGGCTAACCTACTGCTCTCTAGACAAGGATGAGAGCTGTGGACAAAGCGGTCCATCTCACAGCTCTACTTCAACTGGAGCTGAGGCCTGGCTAATTCACAGAGCTCCGAGGGGCCAGAGCAGCTCAGACAAGATCATCCAATCCCAGGTCCCGAGATTATTCTGAGTCATGGGATTTAGAAGTGGTTTGTGACAAAGCAGTAGCTACCTAGTACAAATACTTTACAGATTTGCTGGAGAGACAGATCTGAGCATAACAACATAAAGGTAACATGTAGCCATATAAAACAGTACGGATTGAAAGACAAATTGGCAGTACAGCAATTTGAATGTACATTTCAAACAGACAGCTATCTATTGTACAAAGACATAGATAGCCTCATAACATTTTTAGGAGTTTAAAAAACAAAACCATAAAGGCAAAGAACATATGAGAAGCAATCCAAGGAGCCCTGCTTGGATGAGGAAGAATTGCTGTTTGGGGAGGTGGGGCAGACCACCTGCGTGGAGTTTGTGATGGAAAGGCGAGCTTGGAAAAGCAGCTGGCCAAGGGTGGGAACGCCCTCACTACTTGATTCTGTGAACAATGAGAGCCACTCGGGATGTGGTAGCTACACAGCACTGTGCCTCAAACCCTCTGAACTGAGAACTGGTAAATGCTCAGCGCTAAAGGATAGTTCAGTTCAATGAGCACCATTGGAACTGCTGGCATAGGCAAGGCAAGTAAAGACAGCATGGTGACGGCGGGGAAACTGACAGCCAGGAAGGATTATGGTATTTGATGCCTACCTTAGAACTTGAATACCCACAAAAGTGCACATAGTCAAGAACTGGTCCCCACTGAGTGCCACTAAAGAGGTGGAGGAGTCCTTAAGAGATGGGGCCTAATAGGAGGAAGGAAGATAGGTCACTAGGAAGTGATTTCAAAGTGGATATTAAAATGCCAGTCTCTTTCCCCAACTGCTTCCTCCAGGTACCACAATGTGAACAGGCTCCTCTGACACATGATTGCACAACAGTGACAACAAGGCCAACTAGACACTGACTGTAGTCTCTGTCCTCAACAAGCCTTTCTTCCTTTGGAGTTGAGTTGTCCCAGGTACTCATTAGGGTGGTACAAAGCTTAATGTTTCTAGACAGACAGACAGACAGACAGACAGACAGACACACACACACACACACACACACACACACACACAAGCCAGACCTATCTCGAGGGTTAATAATGGGAATGGAATGCTCAGAAATGAAACAAACCAGCAGGATCAGGCAGCCAAATGGACACAGGGCCTGAGAGAAAGCATTATAGGCATAGGTTAGAATCAGGAACATTTGGATCATCTGCTTGAGACCTAGGGCAACTCACCAAAGACAAATAGAATGTGTGGGAAATACTGTTCGAGAAAGAGCCTGTGAAGAGTCCACAGCTGGCTTAGTGTCAGTCAGTCTGTCCATTCATTCTTTGAATGAATACTCTTGATTCAGGCAGCAACCTCACCAAGAAGATGGAGTAGGGAACAAAACACAAAGTGACAATTTTTTTTTTTTACAAGATTACATTCCAGAGGAGAGACATGACCAATAAACAAAATAAGATAAATGTGATAACTAACTTTATCACCAAGAAAATAATAAATATACTGGGATATATATATTATATTATATGAAAAGAGAGTGTTTCAAGGCTGAACAAAAACAATAGCATAAGAGAGCAAGCTATGTGGATATCAGAGCATGTTAGAGAGAATTCAAAGATGACACACACTAACCCATATCCTTATATGATATTACATCTTTTGTGGTGGGAGCCCAGAGCTTGCTTCTCCCCAACAGACTATGGTAACAGGATGTTATTCCTATGATTACATCCTGTCACAAGGCAAAGAATGCATTTGCAAATGTAATGTCACTTAATCAGTTGATTTCACGTTTACCAAAAGGGAAGAGACCAAGTCAGGGGTTCCTATCAGAGAAGACTGGCCCCTGCTGCCCTCCAGGAATCTGATGGCCATAAGTCCTAGAGAAGCTTAAAGGGAATTAATTTAGCCAATGATTACAGGAGTTTGATGAGAACCCCGAGTCTCAGAGGAGACTCCAGCTCTGCCTGGCACTAGGATCCTACTAAGCCACCTGCACCAGGCTCACATCACACAGGAACTAAGAGGTAATAAATAAATATATGCTGGATGGTTTTAAGCTGCTAAATATAGTATTGTGCAGCAAGAGAAAATAGAGTTGAGAAAATACTTTGCAGGCAGTAGAAAAATAAAGTGTCAGGAATTAAAGTCAAACTATGCCTAGTATACTTAAGGGAAAAATGAGCCAGCCTATATGGCTCAAATGGAATAGGCAGAGAGCATTAGGAAGTGAGATCAGGAGTGATGGGAGCAGAGCATACATGGCTTTCTTGGCATTAGCTGAAAGTCAATGGGGTGGTGGGGGTACACTGGAACCCTGGCTGATATATTGAGACTATGCTAAAGAGGAAGAGTCTACATGGAAACAAGAAGGAAGGCTATGGATAGGAGACAGTAAGTCAAGGGAAAGTCTTTGGCTGGTGAAGGAGCAATTGGGGAAATCAAGAAATGCTCTAGACCCCATATGATGACCAAAAAATAGGACTAACTACTTCATGCTAGAAGTTGATATGTTCCGTCCCTACAAAACACAAGGGCTCCTGAGAAATGCTTTACCGAATCAAGGTACTGAGTACAAACGAGTGGTGAGGGCCCAGTCATACATTTGATGCCTATACCAACCCCTCCAAAGTTCAAGGAGCTTTGAGGAAGAAGGGGAGAAAAGAATGTAAGAGTCCAAGGAAGAGTAGACCTTTAGAGGGGTGGACCACTAACTTCTAGATATAACATGGCTAGCCTACTTGAACTCACAACAGTTGTGATTACCTGCGCAAGACCTATATAAGACTGGGCTTATAAACACATAGTCATGAAAAGGGGAGGGGCTTGTTGAGGCCCAATCCCACCCCTTCCTGAGGATTTGTATGCAGCTAAAAGTTGATGAGAGAGGGACAGACATTTCCTCCAATGATGTAGCTACTAGTAAGGTGTCCATAATATAACAAACCTTCACCCATGATCTTACACTGAGATATACACAGACATACACACATACAGACACACACACACACACACACACACACACACACACACACAAAAGTAGAAGAGGAGCTACCTGGAAAGAGGAGGAGGAAGATTACCAGGAGAGAGAGGCAGACAAGAGAGAGTAATGGGGTGAGTATAATCAAATTGCTTATGTACATGAAGAAAAATGTCCTAATGAAACCTGTCATTACATATAACTACTACGCAGTAATAAAAAAATCACATAAAAAGGAAGAAAATGCCTTAGCACCATTGTGACACAGGTGTTCCTGCTGGTTTTTTCTTTCTAAGTTTTCTGGTATTTTCTGATGATTTAGACAGTATCTCATTCTCAGCCCTAGTTCTAGCCAATGAAAGTCACCAGCCTTCTCCTCTCTCTCTCTCTCTCTCTCTCTCTCTCTCTCTCTCTCTCTCTCTCTCTCTCTCTCTCTCTCTCCTCTTTCTAAAGTCATGATCTAACAATAAGTCAGGCCACATCTGGTCAGCATCCAAATTGTTGTCTGACTCTATTTCAAAGTGCCTGACCCCACCAGAGAAGCTACAATCTACACAGACTACTCCATCCAGCCTTACCACACTGTGCAGAAAGAAAGAAAAAACTGACATCATCCCTATACACATGCCCAGATGAAACTCTGAGGATGTTTTCTGCTTCGTGAGAGATGAGTGAACATCAGGAAAACAGAAGGTTGAAACTGTGACAAGAGCCTTGACTGTGGCACAGAATTAAAGGAACATTCCGGTTCCTTTAATAGGATTCTGCTACACAAACCTGTCTTAACACAGGACATGACCAACTATGCTTCAAAGCAGAATCCCATAAAAATGAAAAGAATAAGGCTGGAGAAACAGCTCAGCCAATACAGGGCTTGCATGGGATGCTTGGTCAGTGCTGTGGAAGCAGAGATGGAGTTCCAGGCTATGAGAAACTTCATCTCAGAAAATGATGGACAGCACAGTGAGGAGCCACATGCATGTATACGCACATGCACCCGTGTACACACACACACACACACACACACACACACACACACACACACACACTGCAAATGGAACCACATTCACTAGCCAGTGTCATAATGGAAACAAAACAACAAAGCCACTGGAAACTGCCTTAAAGCTCAACAGGCAAACAGACCTGCTGCCATCAGCCCCTCCAGCCAAAGGCCTTTCTCAAAATGGCAGTCAGCTGGGAATCCAATTGTCTGGTTTCACAGACCGCACTACTGCACACTGGCCACATGGGGGCACCATCATACTCCACACCCAAATGAAATGCTTGTGTTTTTCCTAAACTGAAGTACCTGGAAGCGTGGTTCATTCTCCTGTGGTGCTTCTTACAAATACAGGGACTAATGAAGACATAGAACTGCCAAGCAAAAAACCCACAAAACTGGACACATTTGGAAGATGTTACAAATAACACAGAAGTTTCCAATCTGTGCCTCCAAGGTTCTGCTTAAAACCCCAGTCTCCAGATCTTTCTCTCATGCTTCCAGCCACCTCTCTATCAGTAACTCGAGTATCCCACCAGCTCTGCCAGGCCTGGATCTGTAACTGTTCTCTTCACTTCATCTTTCCTAACAAGACAGCTATATGCAAAAATTATAAACACCCAGCATGTTTTCATACAGATCAAGATATGGACTACTTAAAAAAGAAACATGCTTGACAAATTGCTCAACACCACACAGCTGAAGGAGTGTCACTGCAGGAGTTGGAATCCCAGGCGTCTAACTCTATACCCAGGAGCTAAAGCGCTATGTCTTTGCTGTTTCCCTTTGAATTCACATACTTACATAAATACATATGACAATATTACAAGTAATCGGCATATTAAAGTTAAGGCTAACGGGTAAGGGACTTTCATAAACTAAATTCTAAGAGAAAAGAGCAGATGCTGTGTTTATAAGTATCCAGTATATATTTTCATTTGAATTAGAGTCACCTTCAAACACCAAGTTCACAGGCTGAGAGAGAAACAATAGTACAGAACTGGGTACAAATGTAAAAAAGAAAATAATCAGTAAGCCATGTTAGGTGAAAGGAAGTCAATAAAACCTTTTCTCAAAAACAGTGAATGGTGGCTGGAAGTGGCTGTGTGGATAAAGTCTGCATGCCTTGCAAGTATTAGGCTCTATGTTCAGATCCTCAAAATGCACATAAAGCCAGGCTCAGTAGCATACACCTGTAGCTCCAGCATTTCCACAGCAAGAGAGGAAGCAGAGACAATAAAGTCCCCTAGAAGCTCGTGGACCAGCTTGCCTAGCCTGTAAGCAATGGGACCCTGTTTTAAGGTGCAAGGTGAGGACTGGTGCTTGTCCTCTGACTTCTATATGCACACTGTGGAAAACGCACAAACACATGCTACAACACAAACACACAGACACAAGAGGCTTCTCAAGGAGGGTACGGTAAAAGAAGACAAAGCACAAGAGACAGAAGGGTAATGAGAAGAAAGTATCTATGTTTCACAGGGTGGTATCCGAACCATGACAGTGGCCATTCCACTGATGGCTAGACCTTCTTTTCACAATATCTTAATTGTGTGATTTCCTAGTTCATAAAAGCCAGAACTATCACTCCGCTAAAAAGTCTAGAACATGTTTATTCCTTTTATTGGGGGAGGAACAGAATATTTCTGACTAGCTTCCACTAACAAAAAGCACAGCTTCTTTTTTTTTTTTTTTTTTTTTTTGACAATGTTTTCATTTTGTGTTATAAGCCATTATTTAAAGAGTGTCAACCAACTACATATTAGAAATATAAAACTGACTCCAAAAACATAGCCATCCATACAACCACATGTAAACCAAAACAAGAGTATAAGTGATTACTAAGAAATGCATTATCTAGGAAAAGGGCATCTAACCCAAACTCTAAATAGTCACAAATAGTTTCCTAAAATCCAGGCTGAGAACTAAGTAGGAAAGTGTGAAAAAGAAAAACTGTTTCAAACAAAGAATGTATATGATGCTTGGAAGTCAGAGAATATGGTAAATTCTAAATGTCTAAGGGATAACAGCAAATCAGGGAGATAGTGGGGGACTGATCAGTTTGTGAGGAGGCCTAGTGAGGCAGCAGGACCTGCCTTAGCCAGGAGGGGAAATGCACAACCCTGCTCAGCCCGGGACAGTCCACACTCTCACACATAGTTGCTAGAGGTACACATTTACACAAAGTCATAATTTTAACAATAAATGGGGATGTGGGCAAAGCCTTTGGGGGGGTATGTTTCCTTTCTGGGAATTTATCCTATGGCAATAATTAAGCTACAAGGAATCTGCTTTCAGGAAAATAACACAGCTTATATAAGAGAAACCATCTAGTACCTGCCCATTAAGAACTCATTTAAATATGTTCCAATGCATCCATATTTCAGTCTGTAATCATAACAAGTTATGTTGAAGAATATTGTTTATTGGTATGTAAATGCTTACAATATAATATGAAGAGAAACAATAACTTATTCTCAAACAGAAGTATGCTTTTTTTCTTGACTTCTCATTTTAGCTTTATGGTGGCGGTAGTTGGGATTTTTCTTTTTTCTTTTTTTTTGGTTTTTGTTGGGGTGTTTGTTTCATCTTTTACAGTTTTTCCAGTGAAACTGGAGTGATTTTATAATAAGAAATACTAGTTGTATAGTAACATTTTTAAACGTTAATCATCTCTTCAGTAAATCCATATGAATTAAGGGGTATATACAGCTTGGAGCTAGCACACACTGTGAAAACAAAACTGGGAAATGCAGATTCCTGGGCAGAGATCTGCATAGCACACACCTTCCATAGGCCACACACGTGTCCATAAACACTCTTCCTCTGAACACATACCTGGACAAACCCAAAAGGAAAGAAACGCTCTGTCTGTCCCTGGGAACCATAGTGGAAGGTCTGACGCCAATCTTCGATGAGTGCAGGGAACATGCATGAATACAGGTCCCTGTTATAATTTGCATTGGACTCCCCTAAAAGAAATCACCAAATTTGTGAGAGGAATTTGGTGTGGATTTTTTAAATGCCCTACATTCTTTCTCCCCCATCCATGTCCTGAGGTAGTAAGTGGCCTTGGAGCTCTCAAGGCTGGTGTCATCACTTGCTGTGGCCAGAGGCATCAGCAAGCATGACGCAAGCAGAAGCTTCAAAAGAGCCTCAGCTTTGGGCATGGCTCTCTCTGTTCCTGGAACTCTGGGACCATAATGGAAATGAAATATAAGTGTGAGACAATCTGCTAAAGGACAGGTCACCTGAGAATCCCAATGCCCAGCACACAGTCCCCAGGCAATGGTTATGAGAGACAGGCCATCCTTGGTCCACTGGCCACCAGATAACTTAGCAGATAGGCAAGGACAAATAAGAGACCCCAGACAAAACCAGCTGAAGCATCAGATAGGATAACCCCTCTGCTAACCCAGAAAAGAGAGACCTAAATGAGAATATAAACTCACTGGGCTTTGAAGCCATTAACTTCTCTGGGGCACTTCAATACACTGCAAAAGTTAATTGACACAATGGAAAAAGGGCAAGCTCACCCTGATACCATAGCACCCCTTTCAAAGTCATGTTTTGCAGTGGATGGATCATGGCATTCCAGAGGACAGAGTGTGTTACAGGTCCCGTCACAGAAGCAGGTGGAAGGAACCTAAAATCAGCAAGATGAACAAGGCCACCAGATCACAAGACAGTAGCCTACCCACACTGACTTGGACAAACCTCAAATGAGAACAACACAGAGGAATCCAGTCGATTGCATTTCACTCAAAAACATGGGAACCATCTTGGACCTCTACCTCCTGGCTCTTCTGAGTCTGTTCTGTGTGAGTCCACAGTGAGCTGTGCCCGTTTCCAGATAAGGCCATTGAGGCAGAGGGAGGGATGATTTACAAGCAATAAATTCAGCTAACTGCTACTCCGTAGACAGATGCTTAGACTAGCTTCAGTGTTCCGCTTTTGTGAGCAATGCCATATCTTCCATATATCTAAACCAATGTATACATACTTAATTCTTTTTATAAGATTAAACTCCCTGCAACGGCATTACTTAGGCAAAATGATTTTTTTTTTTAGACTTTGGATATGGTCCCAAATTTCTCTGTGGAATAAATATATATATATATATATATATGTATATATATATATATATATATATATATATATATATGCATTTGACTTTGCAGTAGCTCAATTTGAGAATCCCCACTTTTCCACACGGTTTGCGCTTTCACTCCCACTCCTCAGAGACCTGAAGGACCTGGCTTTAAACCGCTGCACATGGTAGATAAGACTCTCCCTCCTACTCTACTACAGGCCATTCTTTTTGTCCACACTGGATGCCTCCACCCCACCCACACCCAGGCAAGCCTGTATCCAAATATCCAGTACTGAGAGCAAAGCCCTCCTCTTCCAAAATGAATGAGACAGTCAGTGCTCATTAAAGTGGACCACATATTCATCTGCACCGGCGTACAGCTTTGGTTTTGTTGTTTTGTTTTGTTTTTAACTAACTCGTTCTTTCTCTTCCCAAATATTCTTCCCACCCAACTTTTCCCAAGCAAGCTTTCATACTCTGCACATTAATACATTTTTAAGTACATATTTAGACATTCCTTCCTGTCTGGATGCTCACTCTTGAGCATGAAAGCACCGTGACCAGGAGGAGCCCAGGCACTGGGGCCAGATTAGCCTACTTCCTAGCCCTATCCACGAGCCAGTTATTGATTCTCTGTGGGACTCGGTGTCTTTAACTGTGGAACATCAGCAGTATAGACATTTGGGAGGCGCTTCCAGAACCAGATGAAGTAGTGCATGTAAGAGCCTAGGACAGTACACTCTGTATTGAAGCTGTCCGCAAGGACTTAGCTAGTGCCATTACTGGGTTAAATGTTCAGAATCCCCTCTTGACGTGTACCCAGATGGCTACAGTGCTCATGACAACACCACGTGTCCTGTGCATGGATAAACTCCATACACTCAGGACAAATGTGGACATTCAATACACACTCACCTCTCCAAAGGACACAAGGATCCCTCACTCTTGCAGTCGCTCCTCATGGGCTTTCTCTCAGGCTGAAGAACTCTTTCACTGCCTGTATTAGGGACTCCACAGGCTTTCAGTGTCCTTCCAGATGACCAGACTTCAATGGGTGTCCCACCCCAACTGGAGGAGACCAGCCCAATGGGATATTGCAGAGTATCATACAGGTAACGGCCAAAGAGCCAACATACTGCTGACATGTAAGTGAAATTTCCATGGCCCAAATTTCCTGTACAGAGAAACAGTTACAGGGAAAGGCATGGGGAAAGCAAGGAACTGGAGCTGTCAGATGGGTCAAGGTGAGAGCAATGGGCATGCGCCACCCCACACTCCTTTCTTAGCCCTTCAGAAGCAGGGTAAGATGAGGGGCAGAGACAAGATACAGCTTAGCTTCCAAAGCTCCCAGAGGGAGTCTCCACCCGAGGGTGGGAGTGGGGCAGCGGACCCACAGTAACACTGACAGTTTCTCTTAATTGTTCTTCAGTTTGTTTATTTTTTTCAGTTGTTCAGAATATCTTTGCCCATGACAAGGTAATAGAGCTCTCAACCTGGCATGAAGGCAAATGGAAACAACTGTGTTGCGTTTATGTAATCAGAAAGCCAAAACTCTAAGCAGGTTTTGAAATACCCTAGACCCTCAGACACCTTGGAACCCAGGAATATTTACCTTCCTCAGAAGGTAAGGGGTACAAAACACCATCAGGTCCCTTTTCCAGCCCCTTGACTGTCGTTCCTCTTGTCCAGCCACTCACGTAAAGCAAGCAGCCAGAAGAGAGAGACAAGCTGTATTTTTTTTTTTTTTTCTGGGTGATTTTATGACCAATTCCATAGCTGAAGTAATGAAGATTTTTGACACATAGATGCTGGGAAACCCGGCAGAAAAGGGAGGCGCAGAAGCCGTTACCAACTCGGCTCTCTCACCAGCCCCATCTACTATATCTGTTCCCATTCCGCAGGAACCAAGAGAAGCTGCAATACGTGAGCTCCCTCATAGTGGAAGCTGATGACGGGAGGGGGATGCAAACACACACAACAACAGGATTGATGCAAATCGGTACTTAAGAAAATCCTCCCATACATGAGGCACTGCTTCACACTGAAAAGGACCCAAACCCAAGAACTGATGGTACAAGAGCAAAACCAAATGAACTTCAGATGAATGAGAACTGACTGAGTATCTACTATGTACACAATGGTTGAGACCCAGCAGCAATGACAGGCACAAAGAACATCTCCTAAGTTCTAAAGTTTACTGAATGTGTCAAGTGATTAGCTAAATAAAATGCCAAAATACAGTGTGGTAAGAGATAAAACAAGTTTTAGGCAGGGTTTACAACAAAGAAAAAATATTAAATGAAATGAAGTTCATAAAAAGCCTGGCTTAAGGATTTCTGAATCTTCTTCGAATCCCCCATGACAGTGCCCCTTACCAGCAGGAAGTAGTTTGGAAAGAACAATGCCCAAATTCCCAAATATTGTCTATAAATGTTTGTTTTCATTTAAATGGACTTTGTTATATAAGATAAATTTTTAAAAATTAAAAAAAAAAAAAGCCTGGCTTAGGGACTACAGAGGTGTCTCAGCAGTGAAGAGCACTGGCTGCTCTTCTAGAGGACCCAGGTTCAATTCCCAGTGCCCACATGGCAGCTCAACGGTGTCTGTAACTCCAGTTCCAGGGCTTCTGACACCCTCACATAGACATACATGCAGGCAAAACACAAATGAACATAAAATATATATTTTTAAAGCCTGGTTTGGACTGACTTCCTCCCATCTCTGTGCAACCCCATCAAGTCACTTCCTGCAATAATCTTCTCAGGGTTTCCCTCTGTGTGGTCTAAATGACCCCACAGGAGTGTATGTCTGAATGTTTAGTCATCAGTTAGTTGAACTGTAGGACAAAAATTAGGAGATGTAACCTTGGCTGGGCAGTGGTAGCACACACCTTTAATCCCAGCACTCAGGAAGCAAAGGCAGGTGGATCTCTGTGAGTTCCAGGACAACCTTGGCTTACACTGAGAAAATCCGTATCGAAAAAATAAAACAACAACAAAAAACAATAATGGGAGATGTAGCTTTGTTGGTAATATGTCATTGGGAGTGAGCTTTGAGGTTTCAAAAGTCCATGCCAAACCCATTCTCTCTCTCTCTCTTTCTCTCTCTTTCTCTCTGTCTTCTCTCTTTCTTCTCTCACATCCAAATCAGATTAAATTTTCTGTGATGCAGTAAGAGGTATGTGGTAAGAGAAAAAAGGAGAAATCTAAGAAAGACCTTGCCCACTCTGCACTTCTCGCCCACTCTTGAGAGCTGCATTGTCTCCTTCAGGTTGCTACTGAGATGCCACTTAGCTCTGGTGGGACTCCGTGGCTCTCTGATTGCAAACACTACTATATTCCAATCCCACTGTCCTTGTCGGCTCCCTTTTCTGATGGTGTTGATTTTTTTATTTTTGTCTTCACCATCTTACCTGTCCCATGATATCTGAATCTATTCTGTCTTGCATTCTGATAAAGAGGTATCATACACTATCCAAACCTAGCTTCAGATAACATGTAGCAAGAGCTCATTGAGCAAAGAATTCAACCAGACATCACCCAAATCCACTCAGTTCTGAAATTATCTCAACAGCAGAATCCAAATACTGTGAGAATAGACAGCATTCAACACTTGCATTTTTATCACAATTGTTTATTAACTGATGGTGACTGATGGTGTGTGTGTGTGTGTGTGTGTGTGTGTGTGTGTGTGTGTGTATAAGAGAGAGAGAGGTGGTAATTATTTCTACCATGTTGGGTCCTAGGGATCAAAGTCAGGTTGTCAGGCACGTAAAGAAGCACTTTTACCCAGAGTCATTTCGACTGCCCCTAAGCATCAGACAGACAGTATGTAATTTACTAATTACTGGTTTCCTGTATTTTTTCACAGTAGACTGTAAGCACATGAGGTCAGGTGTTTTTACCTATGCAGTTCACTGCAATACCCAAAGCACTTAAAACAGTGCCTAGCATTTAGTGGGTACTCAGGGGTTTGAAGAATATACTAATACTTGAAAAAGATGGAATAGATAAAGTCTCTGAGGTAAAGCACATACAGAGTAAAAACAAAGGTCTAGAAAGAACACCAGGACTATATTTGAAAGGAAGGGTTAAAGCAGCAATGAATGGGGATGGCCAGGAGCTAGAAAGAAGGATTACCACACAGGCCCGGAGCATGCAGAGGCTAAGAGCAGTGGGCAACAGTGCCAAGAGCTGCAGTCCATAAGGAGAGTGCTGAGTCCATAAGGAGAGACGCTACCTTGAAGTGAACAACTTGTTGAGGTACAAGAGCCAGATTGGAGGACTAAAGAGTGAACCATGTTGCTGGACGGTGGTGGTGCACACCTTTAATCCCAGCACTGGGGGGGGGGGGCAGAAGCAGGTAAGGGGTATCTTGGAGATCGAGGCCAGGTTGGTCTACAAAGGGAGTTCAAGGACAGCCAGGACTACACAGAGAAACCCTATCTCAAAAAGGAAAAAAAATAAATAAAAACAAAACCAAAAAGAGTGAAACCTGTCAAGGCAGTGAAAAGAATGAAAACAGAAGGCACTATAGGATGTATAAAGCAACAGAAAGTGATGCAGCTTCATGAGAAGGGTGTTGGTTGCATGTGGCTTTGTTTTATTTTGTGAAAATAAAGAACAAGGCTAAACCCTTAGAGCAGGAGATGTCTGGCTGTCATACTCTGTGTCCTTGGACTAGTGCAGAGCTTGTGGAGGAGGAGACAGAGATATGAAATAAAGACTCTGTTGAATGGAGAGAAAGAGCAGAATAAAACCTGATGAAAGATGGCTCTGGAAGAAGCTGGCTGGAGCAGATCCAGATTCACTGAAAGGACATCAGTAAGTTGTCCTCAGACACAGGCATGGAGTAGGGAGGATGCTGGCCTGCCTCATGTTAAACAGCATCAGTACTATTCTAAAGTAAAAGAAAGAACCCTTTCCTGAACACCAGGGGTTAGACACAGGACGGATACTTGAGAAGAAACATGAAACCATAATCACCAGGAATAGGATGGAGTTCCAATAGGAATAAAAGGCTAGTTCGGTAACAATAAGCAGAACCAAACTAGGGGTTCTGCTTAAGTCACTAACCCATTCCCTAGAGATGCAGGTTGAAGCACCCAACATACCTGCAGTGGGCTTGGACCATGACAGGTCCACCTTATCAAGGTCCTCCAGCTCCTCCTCTGCCTGGATGAGGGAAACAGAGAAGATACGCACAGACTGGTAGGCAGCAGCATCAGACAACTCCTTTGAGGCGTTGAAGATCTAGAAAGATCAGAGAGTCAGTTAACTTGATAGATGGCAAACTGGCTTGCAGCTTCTCAGTAAACACTTTTTCTAGTCCTTTGGGCTCCTTCTGACACTTGGATATACTGAGACTAGATAAATAAACAAATCACTGATGGGCTGGACCAAAATACCTGGATCCATTCTGACCAACAGAGACCATGATGTTCCAGAAGACAGTTCACTAACAATGAAACCTGATATCCTCCACAGAGCTGTGTAGGGGTGAGGCTAAAGAACACTATGGATTACATCATTTTATTTTCCCCCCATGGTTCTGGTGCATGCCAGCTAAACCTATCACCAAGCTACACCTCCCAGCCTGTAGATTACTCTAATTTGAAACTAGAAGGCTTGTTCCCTCTGGAAACTGATATCTGATAACACAAAGCATCTGAATTAATTTCTTTTAATGATGGTGTTTAGGGAGTGTCTGTGGAGACAACAGAGACCATAACTTATATAATCTATATACCATTTAAAAAACAAAACAAACAAACAAAAAAAAAGATTACAAAGAAACACACCTGAGAAATGACTATGGGTACTAGGCTATCCTCATCTTGATATTGGGGAGTAGTCACCAAGGAAAAGGCTGGTAAGAGAGGGAATCTGAAACGTGCTGCCCAGAGGAAGGTTCAGGAGAGTCCCAAGTAATTAAAAAAGAAATGTGTCTATCCAAAGATGCCACATTTCCCCAAACCACTTCACAAACCCTCATGACATGGTGGTCTGGTGTTATTCTGGACAAAGTTGTGTGCACTGTGTCGAGTGACTTACTCATTAGGTCTGTTAAGCCTCATTCCTCTACATCTTAGGAGTACCCTATTTCCTTTCATCTTGGTTTCTTGCACTGTTGTTGGGTTATTGTTTTGGATTTTGTCTTTGCTAGGATTTCTATTGCTGTGATGAAACACAATGACCAAAAAGCAAGTTCTTATAGGACCCAGGACCAGCAGCCCAGGGGTGGAACCAACTACCCTGGGCTGGGCCCTACCCCATTGATCACTAAATGAGAAAATGCCTTACAACTGGATCTCAAGGAGGCATTTCCTCAGAGAGCCTCCTTCCTCTGATGACTCTAGCTTATGTCAAGATGACACACAAAACTGGCCAGTACAGGTTTTGTTGTTGTTGTTGCCTCTATTTTAAAAAGAATGGATGGGCAATATCTTGATTTGCTTTTGTACTTGTGTAAGTGTTTGCTCTTGAGTCCTCTCCATCCCCCAGAGCAGGACAGCTTCTCCCAAAACAAAACAAAATGAACAGGATCATCAGGAAGGCCAGTCAGTTACTACTCGCCTCAGGGAGCAGGCTCTCCAGCTGAGTCCGGCTGCAACAGCAAGGCACAAGAGGCCAGGGTACTTTGCATTGGCTTCCAGCCACAGATACCGCAGCTGCTTCCCTTTCCCTCCCACCCAACACAGAGAATACAACTGGCCTTCCAGCCCATGGTCCAGGATAAGGGAAAGGCTAAAGCAGCCTTCGTGCCCTCACAGCATCTCATTGAAAAATGCTGCCCCTAGAATCACCTTTGAGTTGACCACTGTGTTGGCTGCAACCAACAACATAACTAGATACAAAGGAAATTGCTCTCTGGTCACTGTGGGAGCCACAGCCTGATGTGCCTCCTGGGTGGCAGCAACTCCAGCCTGTGGAGAGGACTCTATACTTAGGAAAGACATTACACATGATCTCAGGAAAATGCCATGGAAATCCTGATCTGTCTTCAGGATCTTACCGTTGAATGGAAAATAGATGGCAAAGAGAAACAAGCTGATGTGCTCACAGTGTACTTTGGCAAGGAAATTATTTTTCAGCAGTAAGTACCTGTAAAAAGTCACCTCCTTTGAAATTCAGTTCTGCACTGAGCACGAAGCATCATATGTTGCTTCCATGGAAACAGTGGATGAAGCTGCTTTCATTCTCTCCACCCACACTAGCTTCCGCACTGCCTGGGAAGGCAAGCAGCTCGTAGCAATGAGACACCAGCTTAGGGAAGCAGGATGGGAGAACATGCTACTTGTCTTTCAGCCCCATTGCTGAGTCTGCCTGAGTAGTGCCAGGGTATCGGAGTCATGGTGGCTGGCATTCTCCTGTATTGTTACCAGGCCCCGGAACTGGATCCAAAACATTAGCTGGAACGCTTCCATCTTTTCTCACTTATGCCAGAACTGGAAAGCCGGGTGTTAACAAAAATGGGGGTGGGGAAAATTCATGCCCTACCTGATGACAATTATGTCTGAAATTGGCCCCCTTTCCCAATCCCGCTGCCTTTTTGATGGAAGCATTTCCTCTGGGATATTGGCAGCAAATTTAGGAATAAAGAGATTTCAGGAAGATTTTCATTTAAATGACACTCGGTTTCCCCGCTGATGAAAGGGAAGCTTTACTCCATCTGCTGAGATCAGACTTCATCTCATCAAACACCTCAGTGTAATTATTTCCCTACCAAGTATTTAAATGAGGATGCAAATGAATATCAAGGTATTTGAAGTCATTACCGCTGCCTGGGCTGAGGGAGAGCACCGCTGTCTCCCCAGGGACCAGACCGGTCCCCATCAAAGCAGCTGCTCACCAGTGTTCATTCTGTAACCTTTATACCACATTCTTGAATTAATGAAGACACGTCAAGAATCTATTTCCCTCAGAGGCTCTAAGCACAGGGTCTGTGAGGGGGGAGCAAGACATGTATGTGTGAGTGTGTATGTGAACGTGTGCAAATGTAAACGTGTGTGCGTGCCCACACTCACACATGTGGTGGACAGACATTGGAGATTTAGAACCTTCTTTCACTTCTACTATATCATTTCCAAGGTGAGGTAACTGCTGTCTATAAGCCATACACCACACTGCTAAGAGTCTGCTATTGGAATGTGGTAACCATCCCTCTCTTCCGTATATTTAATCTCTCTATATGTAAATAAGAAAGAGGGGAGTGCCAAGTGATTGAAAATTTGGGCTTCTTGTCTGATACTGGCCATCTTTTCCTGAGCCTCACTAGAAATATCTGAGTCTTAAGACCTACCCTGTGGTGGCAGATGAACATTTAGACTTTTCTCCATTTATAAACATCTCACTTGGTGTTATAAATAACATTCAGCTTTAAAATTCCACTTTACCCTAACAACAAGATGGGCATACAATCTGCCATTTCCTTCTTTGAATGTGAAGAGGGGTAGGTTATAGTGAGAATCTTACCTCCTCAAAAAGGCACATGGAGGGAGAAAGGGAAGAGAGACAGACCCTGTGCTTATGTGCACTGGGAATCTGTACAGGGAAAGGAGCAAAAGCATAAAGGGGGGAGCCATGTAATGCATCCTTCCTATCAAAAAACAAGGTTCTGCAAACTGTTAAAAGACTGGAAAATGTGGCTTTTGGTATTATCACACCTAAAATGTTGCCTTGCAAACTAAGTTCAGAGAGAGAGAGAGAGAGAGAGAGAGAGAATTAACACATATATGTTTCAGATAGAACCCTCATTTCTGTCCCCCTCCATCTCAGAGCTCTCAGCCCTGAGTTAATTCAGAAGATGCTCAAGAGAAAATTCCAGGCAGAAAGAATGTGTTTACACGTAGCAATCAAGATCTGATTTAGCTTGACAGAAAATGGGATAGGATCCCTTGGCATAGTCTGCTATTGAGAAAGTTACTATATAGATACAAATAGATCTGGTCCATGCCTTTCTGTGAAAACACAGAAGTACAAGTAAAACATGAGGAAAAGCATTGCTTTCTCTAATGACTTAACAGCAATTCTACTTCTATACAAAACCATGCTTTCTATCAGGACAAAACCTCACATCTGTGTCCATTCAAACATGGCAACAATGTCCAGGCCAAATTCAGCTTAATAGGCATTCCAATTCAAAATACTTCCAGACATTTAATTAAGGCAGGAAGTAAGAGTTCACAAAATACTGATTACAAAAATTTATATAGAAGAAGTTAGATTTTTGATTTAGTAAACATGGTTAAAATGGAGTAGATATGTCAGTCTTTTTAGTAGCAGTGTTTGGCAATAGGTTTTCTTAACAGGAATAGTGAAATTATAAAGGATAAACACTATAGAAACAAGCCATGCAGTGGTGGCACAAGCCTTTAATCCCAGCACTTGGGAGGCGGAGGCTGGCAGATCTCTGAGTTCAAGGCCAGTCTGGCTACAGAGCTAGTTCTAGGACAGCCAGGGCTACACAAAGAAACTCTGTCTCAAAAAAAGAAAAAGAAAAAAAGTCCTAAAAGTCAGGCAGTAGTGGCACACTCCTTTAATCCCAGCACTCAGGAGGCAGAGGCAGGCAGATCTCTGTGAGTTGGAGACTATCCTGGTCTCCAAGAGCGAGTTCTGGGACAGCCTCCAAAGTCACAGAGAAACCCTGTCTTGAAAACAACAGCAACAAAAAAAAAATCTTAAAGTATATAAAAGTACTCTAGTTTATACTTTTTTAATGGTTTATTTTATTTTATGTGCATTGGTGTTTTGCCTGCATGTATATCTGTTGGATTTGCTGGAACAGGAGTTATAGACAGTTGTGAGCTAGCATGTAGGTGCTGGGAACTGAATCCAGGTCCTCTGGAAGAATAGTCAGTGTTTTTAATCACTGAGTCATCTCTCCATCTAGTTTATACTTTATCAAAGAGAGAATTGAAAGGAAAACATAGCTGCATTTTACAGATTCCTAAACCTCAAACTTAATATTTCTCAAAAACAAAGAAATGGATAGTCAAGAAAGGCAAGAAGAGATCACCTAGAACAGAACTCAGTTTGGAGGACGCAGACAGGGATAGCAGTGACCTTTAACCTCTTCAAGATATGTAAGCACAATTAGTGCCAACCAGTATCTACCAATTTAATCCACAGCTTACGTCTTTAGGTTGTTAAATGCAATATTCAATACGAAAGCACTCAGATTAGATCTTGCACACAATAAGCACGTAGTAAAATGAAACAGCCTTCCTTTTCCTTGTCACTTTGTTTCCTTCTCCTTCTCTTTCCCTCCTCCCCATTATTAACATTACTGTCAGCTGAGACTCTCCAGATTACCTGTAACATAGTCATCTCCATGTTACTCTGCCCACTGCACAGCCAGACATCTCCAAATAAGACATCGTGAACCCTCAGGGTGAGATTCACAATCCCCAAAGTCTGTTGTGCCATCACTTCAAAGGGTCCCCCTGGCTTCACGGGATCCAGTACCACCATCCAGGTGTTGGAGGGGGCTGAAACAACAACAGACTCCAAGGAATTAGACATCCAACCACCTAAAATGAAGCTAAACCCCAAACACACTCCATCTGTGGCTATGCCCAGGCTCTGTGACAAACTGTACTCAAAGCTATAGACTGGCCAAATTCCAGGCCAGGGGGATGGAGCTGTCAAGAACAGCAACCCGTTTATCCTTAATCTGTACCAATCCTTCCTAATTTTTATCTAAGGCATTTACAAGAAAAATTAGTTACCCAGTTATAATCCTAAATTAGGAGAGACAAAAATACACATAGATTAAAATTCAAGGACGGTTAGTTAAAAAAAAAAAAAAATTTAAGCCATAAAATAGAAATTCTCATTACACTATCCAACTGTCAATATTACCATAATCTAATCTTTCTGATTTACATGACACCCTGCACTAACTTGCAATTATCTGCTCAAATGTGAGCACAGGCTAAAAACCATTTCTGATATGAATCTTCCCTTTATGAAGCAGGCTCACCCTTGTCATCCACCTCTACCTCCTCCCACACCGCTAACAAGCACTAACCCTGCCAGTGGCACTGGGCTCTCCATTAACAAACAGGTGCATGGAGAAACTGTTGCATCAACAAGTAGTGGGGAGTACATAAATTAATCTCTGGGAAGGAGATTATTTTAACCTGCCCAGTCGAGAATTTCAGAATGACATATAAGACTTGAGAAGCTATGAGACACCCTTCTTCTCAGTCATTGGATGCTGCTGTCAGCGTCACACTCAAGAGATTTCAGGAAACCGTCTTCCAAATGGCAAAAGTATGCAAAAATAAAAAAATAAAGGAAAAGGTGAACAGTGAAATCTGGACATAGAAAAAGCAAAGAAAGCAATATTTTAACATACAAATGTCAAACACAAACTGGCTTATCAGTTGCCATCAGATCAATCTAAATTCAGAGGGAAAAAATGGAGAGATCTGGCAATCTACGAGAAGAAATAATTACACAAATACCATCCAAATACCTACTCCATGCTGGACACTGTCCGAGGCTCTCTCTAGCCAGAAGCAACTAAGCAGAAGCCAAAGTCCGGATGCACACTGGAAAATTAGGAAAAATTGAAGCCATAAAAGGTTGCTTAGAATGCTTGAAGAAATGCCTAATGTTTGGCCCTCTGAAAAGAAAAACCAGCTGAGCTAGCTACTCATATCCTGGAGGTCAGCTAAGCCCAGGACCACCTGCTCACTATTGTATTTCTCTGACCAATAGCCAGACATCAGCATATAAAAAGCATAATTCAACCTAAACCAGAAAAAAGCCACTGTTTTGGAAACAGTGGGCAGCTAGTACAGATTGTGTCGCACAGGTGTGATGTGCTCCGTATGGCTCACACTTCTGAACAGGCAGACGTTCCAATCTGTCCTAATACAGGCTTGCCAAGGTCTTTCCAGGCTTCCTACACTGACACATCTCCCTGAGGCTCAGTCCTCATGCTGCCAACACTGCTCTTGTGTGCTGACGGGGTCAACCTGTGTTAACAGGACTACATCTTAGGCTTCTACTATCATCCAAGAATTCAGAGGTATTAATTGGGTATTTTCCCTTAGCTTTTCAGCACACATGGCTGGTGACAAAAACTCCTCTCCCCAGCACTTCCAACAAGTGTCAATGTGTGTGGTGGTTTGAATAAGATTGCCCCCTCAAGACTGCCCCCTCATAGGCCATAGATTTGAATGCTTAGTGAGAGGCATTAGGTGTGGCCTTGTTGGAGGAAATGTGTCCCTGGGAGTGGGTTTTGGTGCTTCAAATGCTCAAGCCAGGCCCAGTAGCTCTCTCCTCCTGCTGCTTGCCTATACAGATAGAGAACTCAGCTCCTTCTCCAGCACCATGTCTGCCTGTGAGCCACCATACTTCCTGCCATGATCATAATGAACAGTCTCTGAACCTGTAAGCCCATCCTACTTAAATGTTTTCCTTTATAAGAGTTGCCACAGTCGTGGTGTCTCTTCACAGCAATAGAAATTCTAACTAAGACAATGCCCAACAACAAAAAAGACGGGAAGAAGAATTGGCGAATCAGCACCACCATCTCACTACAGCCAGGAAATGAATGGGCTACTGGCAGGGCCTACAACCTGAGGAAAACCGGACATGGAGACTGAGCCCTAGTCTCAACAGCTTTCATACCAGAGAACCTTGCCTTCAACTTCTCAGAAAGCCTCCTTCTTGGCTGGCTAACCCAAGAAAAGAAGACTAAGCCATGACACCTTGTTATATCAGGCAACAAAGCCAGAGAAACTTGGCACACTCAAGAGAACTAATTCACTGATGAGCAGGCCATTCAAGAGACGACTCACGCACACTACAGGATCTCTTCCTGTGCATATACTGTCTGCAGGAAGGAGTGCAGTGGTTTAAGTCAGAAGCCACCACTCCTCACAAGGAGAATTGACTAGCCCTTGGATTGTCAGTTCAGAACAGGGTGGCTGATGAGGAGCCAGGTCACTTATGAGCTTTTGCAAAGTATGTTAACCCATCAAGTCTACTAGGATAGGTTCATAGTAAATCTGAGCCAGCAACCATAATTCATCCAACATCCAATGGGCTTTCTGCTGGTTTTGGGCTGTCTGAACCACAATTGCTCTGGTCTTGCCTTCTGGACAATAGTCATTTGCTATCTTGTTACCTCTTGTGCCAGTCCCAGCCCAAGGTCCTCTTAAGTTTTCATTTCAATGCATTAAGACCTCTGCTTGTTTACACTCTTTCTTTTACCGTCTAGGAAGACTAATCTCCTTGCTTCATTGTACAGCTACTTAGCCTGCATACATTTTGCCAAGCACTCCATCAAGCAAATGACAAAAATAAACTCCAACCCTGGGCTACACTGAGAAGAAAGCCATGCAAATTAATGAGAGCCTTATGTTTTCACGTGTAACAGCATATCTGGTGGCTTGCCCCTGACTACTGATCTGAATATTACAGCCAAGGGCAAACACAAAGAAAGAACTCTCTATTTCTATTTCCCTTTTCTCTCCGCCTTTCCCAGATAACTCCAGCCTCAGGATGGAAACCAAAATCCAAAGGACAAAATGAAAATAATTTGTGTAGAGACATGATTAATCAAGTACCTTCTTTACTAATCACATCAAATGTTAATGATTTTTCATGTTATTGTGCCCAATACCAAGAAGGAAGTCAGCATACCCAAGGAAGGCCTTTATCATCCCAAGAAAAAAAAAACCTAGGGCTAAAAGAAACAGCTGTCCTCACTTCTCTACACAGAACTCAGACTCCATCAGCTGCAACATGACCCTGTAGCTTTTAAATGTGGTCCAAAGGTGAAGACCTTACTACCTAAACCATCCCTTACTGCCTACATTTAATCTGTAGCTTTAGATTCAAGTCTACCACCACCAAATAAAAACAAAATAAGAATAAAACACTTTATGTCAATAAAACTGCTTATGAAAACTACATAAGCTATAGCACATTGTGGCAGACATACTTTGAAGTGGGTTCTAAAGTTACCCTCTCCCCTCCAGAGCAAACAGACTCTGTGACTCGTTTTCAACCAATGGTTCTGCAGCAAAGGTGAAATGTCCCTCTTGAGACTAGGTTATATTATCTGAAGGAAGAAAGTCTATCTCATCTCAATTAGAATGGCCATCATTAAGAAAACAAATGACAGCTGGTCGATGGTGGCACACAACTTTAATCCTAGCCCTCAGGAAGCAGAGGTCCTCGGATTTCTATAAGTTCAAGGCCAGCCTGGTCTATCTACAAAGTTACACAGAGAATCCCTGTCTTGAAAAATAAAAAAAAATAAATAAAAAAAAAATTTAAAAAAGACAACAAATGACATCAAACGCTGGAGAGGAATCTTTATAGACTACTAATCTTTATAGACTACTAATGGGAATATAAACTATGAAAATTAATATGGTCTAGCCAGGCAATGGTGGTGCATACTTTTAATCTCAGCACTTGGTGGTGGGGGGTGGGGGGAAACAGAAGCAGATATATCTCTGAATTTGAGGTCAGTCTGGTTCTTGGTAAGTTCCAGGACAGCCAAGGTGACACAGAGCAACAGAGAGAGAGAGAGAGAGAGAGAGAGAGAGAGAGAGAGAGAGAGAGAGAGAGAGAGAGAGGAAGGGAAGAAGGGAGGGAGGGAAGAAGGGAAAGAGGGAGGGAGGGAGGGAAAGGAAAAAAAACAAGAAAAGAAAATTAATATGCACAAAAAATCAAAAGTAGAATGACCATGTGATCTAGCTATACCTGCTGGTAAGTTCCAGGATATATACCTAAAAGAAGATGAATTGTCATATCACAGAGATAAACTTGTACATCTGTGTTTCTGAGGCACTATTCACAGTAGCCAAGATAAGAAATCAACCAAGGTACCATCAATACATGAAGAAGAAAATGTGTTATGTACCTACATACAGTGAATTTTTATTCAGACATAAAAAAAGAATAAAATTATGTCTTTTGTAAGAAAATGAATAAAACTGGAAAGCATCTTATTAAGCAAAATAAGCCAGACAAATACAAATAATCTAGATTTAAATAAAATATTATTTAACATAATAATTATACACACACACACACATATAATATATATATATATATATATAGAGAGAGAGAGAGAGAGAGAGTTTATATGAGACATGAAAGCAGAATAGATTATTTGGATTTGGAGGTAGAAAGGAAACAAGCAGGTAGAGGTGGGGGTAGAAGATGGGTAAGGGAGTGAATATGAGCAAAATACAATGATAAGTATATATAAAATGCCAATAATTAAACCCATTGCTTCATATGCTTTCAAAAAGTAACTGGAGACATAGCTCAGTTGATAGAGTACTTGCCTAGCAGGTACACAATTCTGGATTCACTCCCCTGAACGACATAAGCCAGGTGTGGTGATTCATGCCTACCACCATCCCATCCTTTAGGACACTGATTCTCAACCTTCTAAATGCTGCAACCTGTTAATACAATTCTTCATGTCATGGTAACCCCCAACCATAAAATTAATTTTGTTGCCACTTCATAATTGTAATTTTGCTACTGTGATGAATCATACTGTAAATATCTGATATTTCCAACGGTCTTAGGTGATTGCTGGTGAAAGGGTCATTCAACCCGCAGAAGGGTCATGATCCACAGGTTGCTGTTTTAGGACATAGAAGTAGAAGGACCATAAGCTCAATGTAATTCTCAGCTACATAAGATATTTGAGGACAGTCTAGGAAGAGAACATAAGATAGTCTCAGAATTCTTCACTTTCAGTATATATCACAAACCACAGAGGGAATGGAGAGATGGCTCGGCAGTTAAGAGTGCATGCAAGAGGGCCTGAGCTTGGTTCCCAGAATCCACCTTACACATCTTTATCCCTTCCAAAGACCCCTTTACTCTCACCCTGAACCTTCATCCTCACAGCCACACTCTCAAGGCAAGCCCTCATCATGTATATGTGCATATCATAAGAGCCTGCTAACAGTTCTACCAACCCTGTCTGATGGTTGTCAAACCCTTCTATTTGCTTGTGTACTTTTATTGCTTAAAAATACACAAAACAGATCCAGGATTTGTGTGCTTTAGCAAAGACAAACCTCCATACTGCCCCATATCTCCTGTCATCACCACTAGTCACTTAGCCCAGTGTTCTAGACCAACACACTTCCGTGGCACTGCTACACATGGACTCCTACCTCTGCACCTATATCCAGGATGCTCCTGCTACTGAATCTGTGCCTCCTCTTTCAAGACCAGTTAAACTAAGTTCATTAACCTACTTCTGTGCTAAGCTCACACGCACTGCCCTTCCTTACTGTGGGAAATATCTCACACAGCAATAAGTGTTCTTCATTTTCCTGCCTCCTCTAATCTTCAGGCTTCATTGCGGGAGAGGTTGCATCAGTTTTGTGCATCATTTTATCACCAGTACCTAGTGCCTGGCACATAATAGCTACTCAATAAATATTTGAATATCTGAGTAAATAATAGTAACAGTAACAATGATGACCATGCAAGTTAATGTGGCAAACACGGCTCCAACTACTTTGTATGTGTTTACTCATTTACTCCTCATTGTAATCCGTTAATACCACATCTACTTTATACATAGAAAACACACTGTCACTGAGATAGTTGATAATATGCCCAAATTATATACCAAAAAAATGACAGTCAGAATCAGAACCTAGATGGTGAACTCCAGAGTCAGTTATATTCCAGATCTCCAATTTTACTCTTTTTTTTTTGTTAATGTTAAGACTTTAAAAAAAAAAACTGTGTGTCAATTTGCACCTGTATATGAAGGTGCCCAGAGTAAACAGATGAGGGCATCAGATCCCCCAGAACTGGAGTTTACAAGGAGTTATGAGTCACCCAGTGTGACTGCTGGAAACTGAACCCAGGTCCTCTGAAGGAACAACAAAAGTTCTTACCCACTGAGAAGTCTCTCTCGAATCTAGAATGACTGCCTCTCTGGCATGTGATGAGTCAGCCCAAATATCATCTCCTGTGGCAGCTTTCCCATAGCAACGAAGTTGAGAGAGATGTCTCTCTTCAGTCTCCCATAGAACTCCACACATAATTTACCAGTGTTCATAAATCTTCTGCATAATTTGTTCTGTTCAATAAGGTCCTTAGCAAAAGGGACTTGGAGCCTTATTACCATTTGTGGTATCTTTGGTGCCTACCCACATAGTAAATACTCAAGTAACTTGGATGGATGGATGGATGGCCAGCCTGAGCTATAAGCATTTATTTTCAAATAATCCAGCAGGTGGCAGAAGAAGACAATAACTGAACAGAGAATAGGCTGTCTTACCTTTCACACTGGTCACTTTCTTCATGATGGTGTCCTGACCTTGGCACAAGGTCACTGTCACTGTGGCTCCAGGTGTACCAAAGCCCCAGATCACCGCCCCTGAAGGCTCCTTCTGCAGCACCATGTAATTATCAATGTATGAGGCAAAGCGAAAACCAATACCTAAAAATGTTGGCAAACACTTAGAGGATTATCAGGAAGATTAAGCATCAAGTGATCTGATAAAACAGGAAGTAACACACAGTCCCTATACAAGAGAATATGAGTCTATTCAAGCCTTGTAATCTTTCAAAACTGGATCTTGTTACTCTTAACTGATAGCAACATAATAAGAACAGTTTCCAACAATATACATCACAGCATAACAGGATCATAAAGGTAAACTTAGGACCCAGGGAGCAACCAATGTACATTCTCTCCTTCCCCCCCCACCTTCCAGTTCTTGGTCAACCCCATACCCAACACCCTTGCTCTAAAACTTGGCTCTAGCACTTAACTTTTCTTCCTCAAATCACTAAAATGAACCATCCATGTACCTCACAGATGGTGTTTATAAGAAAAACAAACCACTTCCTTCCCCAGCTCTCCATCACTGTGCCTACTCATAGTAGCTGGGGGGGGGGGGTGTAGAAGAGCAATGCAGATCTCCCAACACAATTTCTCTAATGCTGTACCCATTTTCTCTCCTACTTTCCATCCTACCACTGCCAAATCCCTTCAAAGCATTGCACATTTCTCTTAGTGCTTACTGTTGTTATTTTATCGTTGTTTTTTTTTTTTGTTTGTTTGTTTTTGATGACCCAGTATACCACGCTTATGACAGTGACAAGTCTCCCTTCCTGATAAGTTCAGATAAATTCAGGACACAAAAATAAGATCATGGAGAGACATAAGGTTAAAAATCTCAGAGAAAAGCTCATGTCACCATTTCACAGGCAAAGAGAAGAGGAGGCAGGAGGCATACTTGCATACTGAAGAATTCTGTGCGAAGAGTCACTAACAAGACTGAATAAGAATTCACTTTAACGAGATCATTTCTATTTTTAACTCATAGCCTATATCGAAGTACTTTTTAAATAACAAGCATTGATCCACATGATCCCAGTGAGCTCACAGAAATTTAGCTAGGAAAATCATAAAACTTGCATCCCAATTTGTCTCAACAGGAAAGATTTTTTTAAAAAAAATCTTCCAAACAAAATAATTTACAAAATTAAGGGTATTTTGTTTTGTTTTGTTTTGTTTTTAAAGTAAAAGTGACAGGCAGGAAGGAGAATTAGAATGAACAAAGCTGACATTTTCCTCCCCGGAAGCTACAAAAGATGGCAGGCCCCTTAGGCTACTTAACAGGGCAGTAGAGCTAATGGGGGTCTCCTCACGAGCTTGGTGGTGGCCTATTTATTTATACTGCTCTTAGAGTAGCAGACTAGTCCCCAAAAATCCCCAGTTCTCTTTCTCTCTGGGGAGTTCTCTGATCATGAAGCCTACATGATAATCAAAGTTCGTCCAGAAGGCTTACCAAGCTCAAGATGAATGTACCATGAGCAAAATACTCTGGGACCACAACATCCCAGAATTGCATAAGCAGGCTGGCAGCCTGCTGGGGGAACCGGGAGGCACATGTGTGGGAGGGCCCTGTCTTGGGTAGATACAGAACAAAAGCTGAAAAGCAAATGCATAAATAAGAGCTAAGTAGAGAGAGGGCTGCAGTTAGGAATGGAGTGAAGAAAATGTTGCTTACATACTGGAGTATGCAGCCAGTAGTCCATGGGCTGGGGAATGCCTTTTTCAGCCAGTCTGTGTTTGCCAACACACATTTATAGAACCTCTTTGTGAATGGTTTTATGATAAGCAAAAGAATTTGAGAGGTAGAAAATACCTTTATAATAATAGTATAATTGTGTTACTTACAAATCAAGAAATATAAACACATTACCCATCAAGGGACTAGGACACAAATAGATCAAGCAAATTTTAAGAATAGTTAGAACAGCTATGAATTCACCAAATATCTCTTTATTGATACTTACTGTGTGCCAGGCACTATTTTGCACACGGAGGCTGTAACAGTGGAGAGAAAATACTACCCATAAAAGATAAAAATTCTTGCTGCCAGGGATTTTACAATCTACTAGGCACTTATGTATATGACAGAGTGCTTAAGATAGTGGGGACAGTAATGTCTTTGGCTTCAGAAGGTGGTTTATGACAGAACTGGAATCCATGCCATTTAATGCCAAAGGTACTATAATTTCCTTCTTGCTTCAGCTAGATTGTAATGCTAATGCAAAGAAAAATAATATATTCTATCCTTATGAAGCTCACACGCTAAGCTGAACAGTGAAACAGACAGCAACGGACAGCAAAGAACCACACATCTTAAACAGGCCTATTCAAACAGGAATTTTGTAAGGTGTTGGAGTCCTCCCTTCATTTGGGAATTGAAATGGGAAATAAGAATGAGTGCTGTGGAGAAGAAGCAATCATTACAAGCAAACTAACAAAAATTTTAGCATAGTGGTGACTTCTGACAGGAACCCAACAGATGCACTAATGAGCGCACTGGCAGTATCAATGAAAACCGGTGTTATCGTTCTCAAAGAGGGTGGTGAGTTCTTAGGTACTTCCATTGCTGAATGTAACTTTTTATTACATGGTACACATGAGCAAAAGAAGAGTGTTAAGGGAAAGTTGTTATGATATGCAAGGAAGGAGGAAGGGAGAGAAATCTGTAGCATGAACGAATGTCAAGTGCTAATGAAGGGCATGCAATATTACCCAAAGGAAACAAAACAGTGACATTAAATTTGACAGACCTAAAGAGAAAAACTAAGGAAAAAAAGTAGCTCTACTGTCTTTACCTTCTCCCTGCCTCCTGTGAAAGGTCCCAAAGATCATGAGAGGGGCACTGATGGGCTGGCTGGGTCTGTCTGATGCTTGAGCAGAGAACACAGTCATGTCATTTCATCTTGCCTCGACCTTCATTGCTTTAATTTACTGTGGTGAAGAAGGTCCAAATTCCTAGCATTCTAGCCAAGAGCTCTACCACTGAGCTATAATCCCAACCCCCCCCCCCAGATTTCATTTATTGACAGTCTTTGAAGTCCACTCCTCCAGTGATCCAAAGAAAAGGGGTGGGCGAATCCTTCATTATCATTTTCCTTTGAATGAATAGGCAGATTCCTATCTTCTGGTATCTCCTTGCTGAGGGGCAATGTCCTGCCTGGGTTAGTCAGATGACAAGCTCTAGCCTGCAGAACGGCCAGTATGACTTTGCCCCATCCCTGGTGAGATGAGCCTTGGCCCTCCACCAATCTCTAAACTGCACCAAAATTCACAGCTGAACCTTAAATTATTCTGAGCTAGTGAGGGGGTTGAATTTCTTAGCCCTAATAACCACTTAAACTAGTAAAACTTAATTCCCTCAAGGCACCCATCCCGAGAGAAACCCTCCCCAAGGGCACCACTGAGGGGGCAGGAGCTGAAGTATTTTGGATGACTCAGTCACCTGTTTCCAAATATTATCTAACTAGCTTCGCCCCCTTCTCTCGGAGCTCTCCTGAAGGCTTCGGTCTGGGCACTTTGGAGTCTCCCTAACTGGAAAAACCTAAGTCTCCCTCTGCCCCCTATGCTGCAAGTGAAGGGCAGTGGGTGGGGATAAAGACATCAGAAGGCCCAGCAAAACCTACAGGCCAGGCCTGGGTGGGAAAAGAACGGTTCTGACTCACACCACACCTTGAGAGGGAACGAGGGCCAAGATCCCGCAGGTGATCTGAAAGGCAAGGGTCCCACAGGGCAGTGTCACCTCACCTGCACTTCTGCTAGCTCGAACGATTATGAGCAGCAGCAGGCCAAACACAGACCCCAGGGAAACCATGCTTGCGGAAATCCGTGTCCTCGCGCCAGACTCTGGAAAGGGCCCAAGGCAAAAGCGGGGCGGGGCGGGGCGGGGCCTGCGTGTGGTGGGCGGGGACCGGGCGGGGTCACACACAGCAGGCCCCACCCTCGAACCTTCACTAGCGAAACCATCCGCGATTCAGCACAAGGTGCTTCCCTCTCCTTCCCGGCCGCCGTAGTTTAAAAAAAAAAACGGTTACCCAGCAACGAGATAAAACAACTGGAACCATCCGCACCAGCTTGAAGAGAAAGAAGAGGTGAGGCAGTTTCCCCCCATCCCCCCTCTAACGTAGAGGCTTCGCCTTTCCCGTCGTGTGTCCTAGGCTCTCGGCATCCCCGACACTCCGAGACTCCTGGAGCAGATGGGGAGCCCGGAAAGCCCTTTCTTAGCGAATCTGCAACGTTAGGTCGTCGACGTCCCGCCCACGGTTTGACCTGTCCACCCGCTCTACTGCCCGCACTCCCCCGCCCAGTTCAGGGCTTTCACAACCCTGGAAGATTCGATATTTAACCTCCTGTTTCCGCCCAAAAGAGAAAGGAAGACTCCACACACAGGTCAGGCCTCGTTAAACCTCCAGCCTACGCCCCTGCCAGAGCCCCTTCGTGCCTCTCAGGGTAACAAGTCCAATCCCGAAGCCGTCCATACTCAGTGATCCAACCTGCTTTGTTAGCCACCTCTAAACCAGCCCTTGAATTACAAAATAAAAGGCCGGACAAAAGCAGAAAATAAGATTCCCCGCCTTTAATCCCAGCACTAGGGAGGCAGAGGCAGGTGGATCTCTGTGAGTTCGAGACCAGCCTGGTCTATAAGTGCTAGTTCCAGGACAGCCTCTAAAACCACAGAGAAACCCTGTCTCGAAAACCAAAAAAAGAAAAAAGAAAAGAAAAAGAAGAAAGAAAATAAGACTCCCCATGCTTCAAAGGCTGGCTTCCAAAACCACGCCCTCTCTTTCTCAGCCCCATCCCAGAATACAGAGGCACCATGCCGCAGAAGTGGGCCTGAAAACAAAAGTGAAATATTATTCAACAAATTATAATTACTAGAACCAAGACTAGATTTTTTTGTTTTGTTTATTTGTTTTTGTTTGTCTTTTCGTTTTTTTCGAGACACATTTCTTTACATAGACCTGGATGTCCTGGGACTTGCCCCGTACACCAGGCTGGACTGTACACAGAGATCCACCTGATTCTGTCTCCGAAATGCTGGGATTAGACAATGCTCCACCGCGCCTGGCTGGCCAGTTTCCTTTTTAATTTTGAACTTGATTTCTTCTCAGCAATGTAAAAAGATCTATACTAGCTTCTCAGCAATCATTGTCTTTAAATACTTCAGGCTAGCAAAAACAACTCTCACCTTCTAAGGACAGGAAGTACTTAATAACTAGTGAAAACTGTAGATTTCTAAGGTTAAAAAAACTAATTTGCCCAAATTAGTGGGTCAGCATTTATAATATTATAATTTTCTGGCCATGGTGTCACATGCTTTAATCCCAGCACTTGGAAGACAGAAGTAGATGGATCTCTGATTTAGAGGACAGGCTGGTCTAAATAATGAGTTCCAGGATAGCCAGGGTTATGTAGAGACACCCTGTTTCAAAAGGAAAAACAAAGTAAAATAAAGACCAATGATTCATGTTAGAATTCCAAACTCTAGGAGAAATGGGTAGACTTGGTAAAAGTGCATTTTGTTTTAATTTATTAAGTGGCATATGTGGGGTGTAATTTGGGGATACAGCCTACCTATGGAAGTTCAGAGGACAGTTTGTGAGAGCCATGTATCCCCCCTCCACAATGCAGGTTGCAGAGATTCCATTCCAGTCTGCCTTTACCTACTGAGATAGATCGCTACCAGGCCTAAATTGTATGAATTTTTCTTTTTAAAGTCCAAAATATGTGTGTCTGAAAAAATAATTTAAATTGTGTTTGTTTGTCATAACTGTGATTATATAATTTAAATTAGACACATTAAAATCAGATGATTTTTACTTCAGGTACCATAGGCAATTCTTTCCAAGGAGATGTCGATTCCTTTCTCCAACACCCACTACCGAATTCCACAAGGATTTGGAAATCTTCTTGAAGGGCTGACACGGGAGATTCTGAGGGAGCAACCGGACAATATACCAGCTTTTGCCGCAGCATATTTTGAAAACCTTCTAGAAAAAAGAGAGAGTAAGCTCTTTTTTTAAAAGTATGAATTTTTAAATAAACTAAGCATTTCATTGTGGTAAAACTTATGATTGAGGAATATGCCTGTCCAGCCTGTTACCTCCACAATGCAAACACATGTCCATACATACATACACACCATACACACACACACACACACACACACACACACACACACACACACACACAAAGGTATACAAAAACATATATATACATAAAAATGAAAACAATAACAACAAAAACTTAAGATCGTGTTCATTGTCCAGATGAGGTAAGTCCAAACACAGTTCTTGCTACTTGAAACAGTATGTGCCAGTTCACTCCCCAAGCCAGGTGCATGTCTTTAATCTCAGAATTTGAGAGGCATAGACAGGCAGATCTTAGTGAGTTGAAGTTCAGCGAGGTCTACAGAGTGAGTTCTAGGACAAACAGGGCTGATACACAGAGCAACCCTGTCTCTAACAAATAAACAACCAGGTTGCTCTCCAGGCCAGTCTCACTAATTCTCAAGTCTGTGGTATGGAAGGAGGGAGACCTGTTTTTATGCATCCCTGCTAGCTGATTGCCTGTTCTTCCTGAAAGGATAATTTGCAGTTTTCTTTAAATCTTGAGTCTTCTCATTTGAAAGTATTATAAGTGTTATAAAAATAATTCAACACTCCTTAGATTAAATAAATTGGTTTTCACCCCGTGTATGAAACTGTTCTTCAAGGAAGGCAGAGAAACAAACTGCTTTGGCAAGTGAATTGCCAGCTGGGGAAGGTAATTTACATTCTATATACTCTCCAGGTCCCATCCTGCATAGAGACTAAGGTTCATGCTAATAGTAACTATTTGATTTCAAGCCAAAGTGAAGTTTCTACTCTTTCTTTCATAATTAAAATTTCCAAACCCCAGCCTTGAAAATGGATAATTATGAGAATCTGGCCCAGTGGTCAAGAGGTGAGTGATTACAGTCACATTTGTACCGAAAACCTACTATTGCCTGCAGCAATCATATTACATAAATTTTGTTTTCATTACCTTGGGCAAAGGAGACTAGAAATAACCCCAAGCAAACAGGCATTCCTTTGTAAATCATTTTTTCAAGAGAGGAAACCCAGGTCAAGGCTAGAATCAAAACAACTCCCATACTGAACAGCTCCACCCTCTGTCCCTTATGATCCTGCCTTTAAAGAACTCAAAATCTCACCCATTTCCTGACTACTGCTGATCTGTCCCACATCTAGTAAGGGTGAATATTTGCTGCATAGTCTGCAACATTAGCAGGGAAAGTCTGTTATATTAAGATCATTGGATAAGAGTACTATTTTTATAAACATGAATTGTATTATTACAACATTAATTTTGCAAACTCATGCAGTAAAAACCTTTGGTCATTTGTTTAATTTTAGAACTCAAGAACATACCATTAAAAATATTAGAGTCACATTAATAAAAACAATTGATGGCGCACACCCTCAGAATACTAGCTAGCTCTCTGATAAACAAATGACTAAACCTATTTGGAAAAAAAACTTAACCACCGCACCCACTTCCACCTATGTCAACTGATCCAGTATAAAAATTTAGCCTTCCCAAGCAAAAGCAAAATAAGTTGTTGTGGATTTCTAGTCCCTTCTTCCATACATACTACAAGATTTCCCTTGTCACCATTTTTCACAAATGGTATTAGTCTTCATTTTTTTATGGTATGGGAAACCTGTTGATGTACAATGTAAATGGTGTCTCAAACCAGTAGAGAATTATGGACTTCTTAAATGATATTGAGATAAAAATGGAAAAACAAAACAGCACCAATTCTTTATATCATACATCCATATAAATTGACTCCAAATTTAAATGTGATAAAACCACATAGATGCTAAGAGAAAACATAATTTATCACTTAAGAAAGCATATTGCTTGCTAAGTTGCCTTCTTTGTTTCAAAACCAAGCGCAACAAGGGAACAGATTGATAGAATTGACAACATAAAAACTAAACTTGTATGTGGCAAAGCACCATGAAGAAAATAAAAACACAACAAACTGAGAAAAAAAATGCTTGCAATTTACATCCCAGTAAGTTAATAAACCTAATAAAGAGCTTGTAAAAAAAATAGTGTGTTCTAACACATTTATATCAATAGATACTAACAAACAGTTCACACAAAGGTAAACATAAATAGCCCTTAACATGAAATTTTTGTCAAAGGGGCCTGTAATAACAATTCAAGTCATAATTTCACTCAACTAAGCGCTTATAGCTCTTCCAGGGGACCCAAGTTCAGATAGCAGTACCCACTCCTGGCTGCTCACATCTGCCTATAACTACAGATTCCAGGGAATCTGAATTCCTCTTTGTTTACACACACACACACACACACACACACACACACACACACACACACACACCATAAAGGGAAATAGAAGAAATTACACTCAACTACCAACAACCACACCTGCATCATACTGTTAGAGAAGCTAGAGTCTAACAGTATGGTTTGTAAGGTTTATAGATATGGCTAAAAGAAATAAGACCCATACCCATTCCTACTAGACATGTAAAATAAAACCTAAAGGAAAGGAATTCTGCAGTATCTGCTAAAATTCCATATTTATTTAACCTGCAGCCCAGAAGGTCTACCTCTACACTTTTCATTATAGCATTATTTGTGAAAACAACTCAAATATTCGGGTGTGTGTGTGTGTGTGTGATTTTTGTACTGGCCCAACAACAAGGCAACTCAGTCTTTAACTAATCCTGCTAATGTATCTTTCCTCTTTTAAGTTAATCTATCACAGGTATTGGTGACAGTGATGAAGGCTGACTAATTAATATAGAGATATTCTGGAAACTTTGTAACTGTATGTTAC